ATCGGCAGCACCCAATTGCCTGGCTAACACAGGTGAAACCCGGTCTCTACTAAAAATACAAAAAACTTAGCGGGGAGGTGGCAGGTGCCTTAGTCCCAGCTACTGCGCGAGGCTTGAGGGCAGGAGAATGGCGAGAACCCGGGAGCGGAGGCTTGCAGTGAGAGAGAAATCCGGCACTGCACTCCAGCCTGGGTGGACAGAGCGAGACTCCGTCTCAAAAAAAAAAACAAAAAAATTAGGTTTTAAAATTAGATTGAATCTATATTGTCTTCATATAGAATATGGAATATTGATGAATCCTTATGAGTTATGAACTGTTGAGTGTGTTTTCTATATGAAACCTTATTGATTTTTTCTCCATTTGCTATTGTCTCCTCTTATGTTTTTTGACTTTTTTTTCCTTTCTACTTTCTCTGTTCTAATTTTTTTTTTTTTTTTTTTTTTTTTTGAGACCGGAGTCTCGCTCTGTCGCCAGGCTGAGTTGCAGTGGGCCCTGGATCTCAGCCCACTACAAGCTCCGCCTCCCGGGTTTACGCCCATTCTCCTGCCCTCAGCCTCCCGAGTAGCTGGGACTACAGCGCGCCGCACCTCGCCGGCTAGTTTTTTTTTGAATTTTTTTAGTAGAGATCGGGGTGGTTTCACCGTTGTTAAGCCAGGATGGTCTCGATCTCCTGGACCTCGTGATCCGCCCGTCTCGGACCTCCCAAAGTGTTCTGGATTACAGGCTTGAAGGCCCACCCGCGCCTCCTCTCTGTTCTAATTTTTAAACATTTTGACCTTTGGGGTATGTGCTTCCTTCTCCTTCATTATAGGCATTTAAAGCACTTCAAATTTCCCTTCAAATACTGCTTAAACTCCCATGCGTATTTTGGTACTCATGTTTTCAATTGAGCGCGGTGTTACACATTTGGTATTCTATTGCATTTGCTACCTTAAATAATTATTAGCAAGTTTCTAAAATCAACTCTCGATCTCCTGACCTCGTGATCCGCCCGTCTCGGCCTCCCAAAGTGCTGGGATTACAGGCTTGAGCCACCGCGCCCGGCCTAAAACCTAATTCTTTTAGAAGACTAATAAAATAGACAAAACCTGGCAAGATTGATTGAGAGTATAAGAGAAAAAAGTGGGAAAAAAGGACTTGACTATAAATTTTTAAAAGCATAAGAGAATACAATCAACATCATTATATTAATACATTTGACAATTTAAATGGAATGGACAGTTTTCTAGAAATATGTAAATCACTAAAACTGACATGAAAAAGAAATGGCAATCTATTTATTTATACCCTTTAAAAGAACTGAATCTACAGTTAAAAAAAAATCTATTCATTAAATACTATGCCAATCAAGTACTTACCCAAAGAGGTGAGTTTTACCAAATCTTCAAAGTTTATTTCCTGTATTGAACAGATTTTTTCATTCAGTGAAACAAAAATAGGAGAACTCTCTTTACTTCTTTTATAAGTATATTTTTGATACTCAAACTGGAAAAAGACAAAATGAGAAAAGAAAATAGTTGTTTTTTTTGAGCACATGTGCTCAAATATTTTAAAATAGCATCTAACTGAATTCAGCAATGCATTAAGACATCATATTAGATAAGGCACAAAGCAAATATAATAAAATAATTATAGAATCTGGTTGGTGGGTATAAGGGTGTTCACTGTATGGGCCAAATTTTTTGTATGTTTGTTTTTCATATTAAAACCTTGCAAAAAGTAAGAAACAAAATCATTCTGTATTTACCACCTGTAAAAACATATCATGACAGAATATCAAGAATGGTTGAATATTAAAAATCTACCAATGTAATTCACCTCATTGATAAAGATGACAAATTTTATCAGGAAAATGAGGTTGTAGTCCATTTCCAGTGCCTGGGTGTAGGTGGCTCACGCCTGCAATCCCAGCACTTTGGAAGGCTGAGGCGGGGTAATCACTTGAGGTCAGGAGTTCTGAGACCAGCCCTTGCCAACATGGGTGAAATCCTGGTCCTCATTAAAAATACTAAAAATTAGCTGGGTGTTGGGGGGCAGGTACCTTGTACCAACCTACTCGGAGGCTGAAGAAGGAGAATCGCCTTTGACCCCAGGAAGACAGGAGCCTGCAGTGGAGCTGAGATTGCGTGCCACTGCACTCTAGCCTGGGTGACAAGAGCAAAACTCCGTCTTCAAAAAAAAAAAAAAAAGTCTACTTGTAGATGAACTAGAGGAAACAGAGGAAAGGAAAGCAGAAAAACCAAAAAGATGTGAGGGGGAAGGTGAGACTTGGAACTTGTAAACAGTCTCCTGTAAGATAAGTAAATTAACTCCCACAGCTTTTATAGAGTATAGCAGATTGGTACCTACACAATAGAAATATTGGCAAAATGCAGTAAAAAATAACTTTTAAAATAAACAGCTGAAGCAAAAGGAAGAAAAAGGTTTTAGAATAAAGACAAGAAACACAACGCACAAGTGGGGTTCAATCTGAACTTGACCCCAGCCAGCTGATGGGGCTCAGTGGTCTCTGTGCAGAATTCTCCTTGGATGCCCCTTGTTGCTCACATTGACTCCTGGCTTTCGGGCCTGGGGGGACCCAGGCCCCCGGGCCGCCTTCTCTGTTTAGGTTCAGAAGCTGCAAAAGAGAACTGCCTGAAACTTCCTGAGACACAGGCTCTTGGAGAACCAGGAGGTGTCGTTGGAGGAAAACCCTTGAAGAGCTACTCCTCCATGAGAGGGAAAGTAGAAAAGTCCAACTCCTCAGTCTGAAAAAGTAGTATGGAATCCTGGGCTTTTTGTTTCTCCTGGGGATCTTTTAAAATTTTAATCCTACCCTTTCTAACTTCCAGTATGAAAAAAGAAAAGGGAGAATAAATAAAAACGACTGGGGGTAGGGTGGCTTACACCTGTAAATTCCAGCATTTTGGGAGGCTGAAGAGGCAGGTTTCACTTGAGGTCAGGAGTTTAAGACCAGCCTGACCAACATGGCAAAACCCCATCCTCTACCAAAAATACAAAAATTAGCTGGGGTGTGATGGCCCACACTTTAATCCCAACTACTCGGGGAGGCTGGGCAGGAGGATCACTTGAACCTGGGAGGTGGGCCTGCAGTGATCTGAGACCATCTGCCAGTGCACCCACTTCAGGCCCTGGGCAAACAGAGTGAAAAGAAAAAGAAGAAAAAGACTAAGCTTTAACCTTAATAGAAAAGTTAGAAAAGGAAATAGAAAGTAAAAGCGCGAATCAGAGTAAAAGAATGATAACGTGG